AAAAAAAAATTCGTGATCTAAGCTCAATTGTCAGCATTTGGGATTTGTTCTATAAAGAAAACTCTGTTGTTAGAGAATGAAGAGAGTTAATAAGCAAAACTCTCAATTTTATAATAAAGTCACATAAAAACTAGATCAGTGTCCCTCCACCTAGGATGCTGGCTCAGGTGTAGCTCTAACTGAAGACCCGAGCAAATACTTAATAGATGGATTCAGTCTAAGTACCTGTAAAAATTAATAGCCAAGGAAAAATGGATTTTGGGTAATTTATTCTATGATCTGGCATCAAATTCATCTCCTATTCTAAGCAGTTGGTTATTCACAATATATTAGCAATCTCAAACGTACATTTTATACATGTATATGTATGGATGTGCGTGTGTGTGTATACATTCACAACTGTTATTTTTACTGTATTTGTATGACATGCAATTATTTCCCACTGTGTCTCTTTTCGTTACTCCTTTGCTACTGTTGATTTATTTATTGTCTGTTTCAACTTTTTGCTCAAATGTCTTTCTGAAGTATGGGAAGAAGAATTAACACATTGCTCTTTGTTCTCTTTCTAAGCTTAAAAAAGCATACAAAAGAATTCAAGGTTTTGAGTCTGTTCAGGTCACCCAATTTCGGTAAGTAACACAATGGTCTTAGAAGGGCATCTAAGAATTGGGCGCCAGTTCTGCAGAAGGCAGAGTGCTGTTTTTAGATGACCCTGACAGAAAACAGGACAGAATTCATCTTTATAGTAGGATTTTTACTAAGTGAAGAAGGATCTGTAATGCTTTAAAAAGTCTGAAGAGGAAAGCCTGGATTCTTACTTAAATGAGTTTAGGACCTTAAATTTTTTTTTGACAGTTTCACTCTGTAAAAATTAAAATTAATTTTTAATTTAAAAATTTAAAATTTAATAAAAATTTTTAAATTAAATTAATTTAATCACCCAGGCTGGAGTGCAATGGCGCAATCTAGGCTCACTGTAACCCTGCAACCTTTGCCTATGGGGTTCAAGAGATTATCCTGCCTCAACCTCCCAAGTAGCTGGGATTACAGGCACCCACCACCACATCCAGCTAACTTTTTTGTATTTTTAGTAGAGACAGGGTTTCACCATGTTGGCCATGCTGGTCTCAATCTCCTGACCTCAGGTGATCTGCCTGCCTCAGCCCCCAAAGTGCTGGGATTTCAGGCATGAGCCACCACATCTGGCCTAGGACCTTAAATATTGAAAAGCATTCTCAAAACTGTGGGTCAGTGAGTAGAACTATAAAACAATAGTAGCAGGGCAGAAACTTGGAAGAAGGCAGGAGATCATGGTGCTCGTGCATGGGAAAAAGTGAGGGTTGGGGATAAGGGTTGTGGGTTGTCGAAGGGTGGATTTTCTCCTTCAGCAACCACAGGAGATATGATGCCTCATAATTCGGAGCCAGAAGTGGGGCTTTGGGTGAAATATCTTTGCACAGACATCATGTATACATCATAGTTCAAAACCCAGTAGTCATTGTTTACAGCAAATAAAGAAATATTTAGTAAATTATCTTTTTGTTTATGCCTTAATTCCAAAAGTTGTTTAGTTAGTTATCTATGTGTACATTAATTACCAACTATTAATAGTCTGTCTGCTTGTTAGAGAAAGTGGCTTAGAGGTCAGAGAACTTGACTTGTTATATTTTTTTCACAGTTAACTTAAAAACACCCATAGGAAATTTTCTTTTTCTTTTCTTTTCTTTTCTTTGTTTTTTTTTGAGATGGAGTCTCGCTCTGTCACCCAGGCTTGAGTGCAGTGGCACATTCTCAGCTCACTGCAACCTCCACCTCCCAGGTTCACGCCATCCTCCTGCCTCAGCCTCCCGAGTAGCTGGGACTACAGGTGCCCACCACCATGCCTGGCTAATTTTTTTGTATTTTTAGTAGAGACGGGTTTCACCGTGTTAGCCAAGATGGTCTTGATCTCCTGACCTCATGATCCGCCTGCCTTGGCTTCCCAAAGTGCTGGGATTACAGGTGTGAGCCACCACGTCCGGCCGACCCATAGAAAATTTTCAACAGCATTTGCTATAAACACATTGTCCTGGGCATTGTCCTTTTAAGTCATACATGTATAGTTTTCTTTAAAATTCAATACTAGCAAAAACACTGCTTCTTTTTTTTATATTGAGATTTATATAGTTAATCATACTTTCAATATTCATATTTTTCTTTTCTGTGATCCTTGTTTTCTATATATACTTCTACTTTATATTCTATCATGTATATCTTATAAGCTGTCTGCAATAATTTGTAGACAAACTCACAGTAAAAGTAGGCACAAGTCTATAACTACAACTTTTGAGGTTTTACTTTTGTTTTGCTTCATTTTGTTTTAATATGGGGTCTCACTCTGTTGTCCATGCTGGAGTGGAGTGGTGCGATCTCAGTTCACTGCAGCCTTGACCACCTGGGTTCAAGCAATTCCACCTATGCCTCCCTGGTAGCTAGGACCACAGGCATGTGCCATCATGCTTGGCTAATTAGTTGAGGTCTTGCTACGTTGCTCAGGCTGGTCTTAAACTCCTGGGCTCTAGCGATCTTCCTACCTCAGCTTCCCATAATACTGAGATTACATGCATGAGACACCAAGCCCAGTCTAAAGTTTTACGTTTTGCATATAAGATTTAAAATAAATGTCTTTTTAAAAAATTCTTTTGAAAAATAAAGAAGGTTTTCACCATGTTGACCTGGCTGGTCTCAAACTTCTGGCCTCAAATGATCCACCCACCTTGGCCTCCCAAAATGCTGGAATTACAGGCATGAGTCACCATGCCCAGATTAAAATAAATCTTAATCTCTCATTGTATTTACTTATCTGTCAAACAGGACAGTTATACACCTGTGGAACCTGGTTTAACTTCATTAAATCAAATCAATAATAAGCAGGAAAATACTTCATAATCAATAGAAGGGACATATCGATGCAAAGGTATTGTGACCATCATTACACAAAAGGGTGTCTGCACTTATTTATACATTGTGAGCAGAAGTTCAATGTAGTACGAATTTGAGCTGCAGAGCTTCTGATCAATTAGTAATGAATAATTTTCTGACCCAACTTCTCATTGGGCCTCAGTTCTCTTATCTATAAAATGGGAATGATACACTGCTTATCTTGTGATTTATTATTGCAGGATTGACTTAATATATGTGATCT